CTCGCATTTCCCTTTCCGACCTGACTTCGTCTCCCTTACCCACATTCACGACTAGTTCACCACGCATAGACTGCGATGATTCCACACAAACCATTTTTATTACAATGTCTCAATTCGAAAATTCCTACATAGATACCCCAGAGGAATTCCAATACTCCGAACCCAGTCCATCCACTTTTTCGCAACCCCTCTTCCAGTCCCTTACTTGCCAACTTCCCAATGAACCCTCCCCAGCCCCCTCTTCCTATACTGACGCCACTCCCATTCTTTCCCCAATGACCAGCGATCAGCCGGACCCACCTAACCCTTTCACCGACGAACAAGAGAATGAATTAGATAACTTCATCACACTGCAACAACAACTTCAAATTACTAATACACTAAGAACCCATCAGCTATCGCGCTCATTATCAAACTCTGAATCTTCAAACCAATCATCAAACGCAGTCGAAACAAGAGCCCACAGAGTTTTCAATCGAAAATTTTCCAATGCACAATCCCAACTTTTCCGCCACCCCCGGCCAGCCAGACTGTTTTCCCTTCATCCACTCCATACTAACACTATTGAGTTCTTAAAATACAACCTACCATTTTTCCCGCACAACACTTACTACCAGATCACTAACAATGACCAACTGAACTTCGTTGATGAGTATAGCCTGTTTCCCACATTATCATGGACCTGATACTACCACTTTACCAATCCATTAGCGCTTCCCTTATACAATAACCCCGCCGATAACGAACTACGCCAATCCCGTTTGCACAAACAAAGAACTATACTACACGAGAAACAATTCACTACTATAGGACTAAATCAGACTTTAAACAGATTTATGGCACCACGAGCTAACAGATTTTCCATTAATCATCATGCCCACGATATTATAGAAGAGTCAGATATAGAAGACGACCCTAACACTTACCCTCAATTAACTAAAAATATTTATATCAAGTCAGAATACCTATTTAACATAGATATCACAAAAAAAATTTGACAACATCATCGGCACTGCACTGAAAAACACTAAAGCATATGAATCAGAGTTCAATAAATTCAACCACTTTGCAACCTGGACTTGATATTTGCACAATTTAGTTACAGATACCTATAATAAACTTGGAATTTAAGACTAGTCTCGTCAGAGAAAGAATTCAGTTAACACCTTACAAAATGGGTAACAAAGTAAATGTCAGGACTTGTTAACTCTAAATATAACTAAAATTGAAATGGAAAAGTACCGGGTTGATTATTTGCGTGAACGAGTTGCGCTGTAGAGTTGGTACTCGTTGGCAATCCTGGAACCGGGTCGAGTGAGGACTGATGAGTGAAGTAGCGAAGCGAACAAAAGGAGACGCGGGCTTTTTATAGAAGTAGTTAATAGTAATTAGTCCTTTAATCTGACCTTCAACATAACCTTTTACGTGTCGTGGAACAGATAGTATTAGTGTCCAGCGCTATTACAAAGAGGAAAAAGCCACTTTGGCGCTCCTGCGTGGGCTTTCTTTATCGAGCAAATAACGATCTTTTGATTTATTGTTGGACGAGTGTTGGAGGAGTAGTCGACTGAACCACGACAAAGAAAATGGATTGAGGCAACTTAGCAGCAATCGAAGCGTTCTTCAGAGCAAGAGTTGACGATGTGTTTCTGCTGGGACCCAACTAGAAAGTGTAGCGTTTTCGAAAATTCAACCACTAACCTTTCTTTTCCTTACACCTAAGGAACGTGACTTGCACTGTTCACATGAAATTATGTTTCGCAAAAAATTGACACGCACATACACCTACTATAAATTCGTCCAACACCACTATACAACTAACACACCGTCACGAAACCCACAACACAGATTTAAATTCATTAACTCCAAATACACTTCACCATACTTCCTAAATTTTACTTTTTGTATAAAAATTACTAATCTTCACGTGATCCTCCGTAGTTATGATCCAATTCGACAAATGTATAAATTCTGCCAACTAACCAAATCCTTCGATGTTGATAAATCCCGCCCACTAATCATCCCCCACGAAT